TTGATACCATAAGATTTGATAGGTATCATATCTTTTTAAGTCATTGATACCATATCATTTGAATATATTGGTGTACTAATTAATAAGGTTTCTATAAATATGTTCCTTTTTTCGGTACATTGAAAATGTTTCTATAAATATGTTCATGAGATGATTTCTTTTTAATTTTTCTTCTGTTGAATAAAACTTAGACCAAGGTAAAGATCATTCTACAAATATATATATATATATATATAAGGGAAGAGAGAGAGAGAGACCTACCAACCGTCTCAGATTAAATAGGTTTTGTGTCAAATAGTGTTATTAAAACTGGACTGGACCGGTCGGTTCAACCATGAACTGGGACTTAAAACGGTTTGGTTCTATAGTTAGACCACATAAGGAAGTAAACCGTATGGGAACCGTTAAACCGGCCGATTTTAGACCAAACCCGTGAACTGGGTGGTTTGATCAAACCGGACGGTTTGAATTTCAAGGTTCTATATTAAAAAAAAATCTTTTTTTGGGGCCATTTGCCCTAAATCGATTATTGATTTTTTGCTCCTTCACAGCTCGGCGGCCACCGATCACCCACCCACCAGTCAGGCGACCACCCATCACCCACCCACCAGTTAGGCAACCGCTCAAGTGAAGAAGAGAAGGCTAGAGAGGCGACCACTTAGCTAGTCTAGCTTATCGCTTCTTCCTCTGGTTTTTTCTCTTCCTCTGGTTTATTTTCCTCTAATTTCTTTTCTCTAGTTTCTTTTGTTCCTGAAAGCACCACCAAACATTACCATGTCAGTACATAGAAACAAGAAAGAGAAACAAAAAATGGTTGAATTTGAGTGAAGATTGCGGAGTTTAGGACCTCCCTCATTCAGTTGATTTACGCCTGCCTTGTGAAGTGTGATTGGCTTTGCTACAAGATATGAGGGGTTTGCCTTTTCTGAGAAGAAGGCGGAGATTGTTGTTTGATGATAAAGGTTGATTTCTTATAAGGGGTGTTATTTCTCCGTGGCTTGGTTGTAAAACTTGGTAAATTTAAATTTTTTTTACATAAAGGGTAAAACGGTAGTTTATCTCTACAATACAGGTTGTAAACCTGAATTTTTTTAGATCTCGAATGACGAAATGGAGCTCACCGTTGGATTCATCTCACGAAATTTCGTTACCACGTTAAATTTCATCGAATTTCGAGATGGTCAAATTTTTTACGTTTTACGAGACACTCGAGTCTCGGGTGACCCAAAAACAAAAAATTTTGAAAGATGAAAAATAATTTAAGACAAATTAAGATAAAATTAATTTGAACTTGAACCGGGACAAAATTTAAATCGCTCGGAACAAAAACGAACCAAAAAAAAAGAGGGTTGTATGGCCAATTGTGGCCCAAGCATTGGGGGACTATAAAAAGGGGAAGAAAATCAAATTTTCTCCTCCACAATTACTCAGGCGTTGCCGATAGAGAAGAGAGGAAAAAAAATTCACTTCTCTCTACGATCTACGACTCCACAGACTTCAAATCAACTTGGCCCAAGAGTAAAAGTCGACCTCCTTGTCGTAGGCTACGCGATTATACCAAAAAGGAGGGTTTTCACCGAAGTTTCAAAAACAAGTTTGGGAGAAATCAAGGGTTTTGGACTTGATTGGGATTTTTGGAGGTTCCACCAAGTGGGTTACACTTCCAGAGGTAGGATTCCTTCCTACTCAAGTTTATTTTACAACCTAGGGTGTAGTATGTAAAGGGTATGCGGTTAAAAAGATTTTATCATTACCAATATTATGAAAATTGATGAAATGAGTATTAAAATTGGATAGAATGAAATTTTACCTTGAAATGGGTTGTGAATTAGACTCAATGTGATCTATGGAATTGGGTGATATGTGGGCATGTTGTGTGTTTACTTTATGCCTTGAAAATTTAGTGTGTTGTTAGCATATATTATGTAATAACATGCTTGTGAATTGTTGTTGAAAATAAAATGTTGATATATGTTCATTGATATATGACATTATGAGAAAGTTTGGTGATTATAGGCTTCGGATATAAATTGTCATGGAATTTGTTTGATTGTAGTTAATTTAGCTCATGTGATATCCTTTACATATGGGCATGACCTGGATTAGGCAATGGTGCATTAAATTGCATTTGCACAGGAGAAACGCATCCATAACCATGAGTGTGGGTGTGTGTATACATGGTAGATATCAAACACCAAGTAGGTGGATGATGGTGGGCTCAGGAAAGTTGGATTAAAAATTCGACTGAGTCGCACGGTTGCATGAAAAAGAATTGGGTCGGGGTAGCAAGAAGGGGCTAGACTATCCTTTGGGTGAGAGACCCAGTGTTCGAATATGCACTTCTGTTGGTATAAGAGCTCCATAAAGTGTGTCGATGTACGCAAAACTGTTTGTGAAAGTCCATGAATTCCGTATCGGTTGGGGTGACCGTTGGTGTAAGTCCATAAATACCCACCCCAAGAAATACCCAAAAATTTAAATAGTCATTTGGGTGTATAACACAAATGACAGGGGCTTGAAAAGCTCGATTTTAATACTCACTGCATAGCATGGGGTAAAGGTAAATGATCGGAGCTAGAAAAACTCGATTTTATACACATTGGCATGCATGTGTTGTGGAGCCGAGAAGGGTTCGGGTAAATTGCATGAATGAGTATCATTTCATGGCTAGATATGTTAGATTCCAACTTTGATTTGCTTAAATCTAGGTTGGAATGATTGTTGTTGAAAAATATGGCATGTGAACATTGCATATGCATTTAGGTTGGGGAATTGCCTCTGTAGGAAACATTCTACTAGGCGTTGGCTCACCCTATATAAAAAACATTTCAGGTGCGGGGTTCGTACCGGTGGAGGATACTCATTCGAGGCCTCGAGGGTGAAGAAACTCGGCTTGTGGCTTTTGAGATAAAGTTTTGTAAAACTTTTGTTAAAAACTATGTTTTGACATGTAAATGTATGAATCAAATATCATAGAATTTGCATGGATCATGTATAATGTAGAAAACTATATTTTACATGTTTGGAATGAGTTTGAAAATGTTTTGGATGAATTGGAAATGAAAAATAGGTGAAACAGACAATTCTTGGCAAAACCTTTCGGAAGGTTTAGTCAAAGACAAGGAAAAACTAGAACACTGGATGAAACCTTCCAGAAGGTCTATTCTAACCTTCCAGAAGGTCTTCACATATTTCTAAAATGAGGGAATCCAATGTGTAAAACCTATCGGAAGGTTTAACACATTTTGCAGAAGGTCGACACACCCTTCTTAAAGGTAGGATCCCAGTAAGCAAAATCTTCCGGAAGGTTTATGAAGACCTACCAGAAGGTTGATGAAAATCTCTGAAGGAACTTTTCCAGTAAGTAAAACCTTTCGGAAGGTCGAGCAAAACCTTCAGGAAGGTTTTTCAAAAATCTGAAATTTTAAGAATGCATTGTCATGATTTTGGGCTATGTGTTCTTTGGTTCCAATGACACAAATGGACCTTAAATGAGATACATTGGGGTATATTTAACCTCGAAGGGATTAAATGATTGAAAGAATACAGGTCACACGTGTGAGTTATAATCCCGGACAAAGGGATGTTGTTGACGTGATGTCGAAATGGACAACAATCACGGATAATTTCACGGGTTGATGGGTGATCAACGGGTTAACAAAGAATCCCCCAATTTTGGGGCGTCTAATTGCCGGTTCTCTGTTAAGAATGGTTTGGGTGGTTGCTTATGCTTGCTTTGGAGTTGCTGAACTTGTGTTGGGTTTTTGTGTTGAGTTTTTGTTATGTAAAAGTTGTGTTGCCTATTTTGTTTTTTGTACTTTTGGCTTTGGAATTGCTTAACTTAAGAGTACTTTTTTTCTCTCTTTTTTAATCTACTCTATATTTAATTTTATGAGCAAATTATATGCATTGTGGACATATTTCATATTTTTTAGCTAAATTATTATATTGTATAATATTTATGATTTTTATTAATTTTTTATTATATGATCGGTCCGACCTTTTTGACCCAATGGTTGAACTAGTAAACTATTGACTCAATCCTCTTACCGATCTAATAACATTGGTGTCAAGTCTTATCGAATTGTGTGAAAAACTATTCAATCTGTACACCGTTTTTTTTTTTTTTTTTCATTGATAACGATACAAATACTTTGAATGTTAGAGATTATTTAATTAAATGGATAAAAATCTACAAATCGAACATAATTCGTTTATTAAACAAGTTACACGACACGACTCTTTTCTATTTTATTAAAGAGCTATGTTGGCTAAAATCAGGTTAACATGATAACCCATCACCTGTTTGACCCCTTTATCACTAAAAATTATGTATATGTAATTAGCAAATATTTTTGCTAACCAATTACCAAACTAATAGAAAAATATGATAATTAGTGATGTCAACCCACATTAAAAAAAATATTTAAAGCTATAATGAACTCATCAAAAAAATTAAATTTAATTGGTCTAATTATTAAACTTGATAAATTCTTTTAACTAAAAAATTCTAAAATAATTATTAATTTATTATTATATTAATTTTATTTAAACAACCAAACACATGATAAACAAATTAATTTATTTTATTCCAACACAATTCATTTATTAGACGGCTATCTATTTATTCAAACTCCCATCCAAACCATCTTAAATCGATATCATGTTCGTACGTGTTGATATTGACGGGCTTAATTAGGTACAGGGTCTTCAGGGATTTGGATTGGCATTTTGTGATCTCATTCGTATGAGCAGCAGCCTCATATGCATGGGCTGAGACATGTCTTCCCAACCCTCGGTCAATTATCTCTCTCTCTCTCTCTCTCTCTCTCTCACATGCATGCATACAAAGGGAGACCCACAGAAAATGAAAAAATGCTTTGTGGTCCTCTATTTATTAGGTATTCTTCTTTTTTCCTCCACAAGGNCACAGAAAATGAAAAAAATGCTTTGTGGTCCTCTATTTATTAGGTATTCTTCTTTTTTCCTCCACAAGGAAAGAAAATTCCCACTTGTGTGCTCTAATAATGAGATCTTCACTCATTATTTCTCTATGCCTTCTTGTATCTGTGTTGTATTTTGTTCCCCATAGTGTTAGCTCTTCTCCTTTGATTTTCCTCCCAGGAAGAAGACCCATCAGAGAATTGAGATTCTCATCCTCCATTCAACCAGGCTCACGCCACAAAATCAAGGTAGGATACTAAACCACTCAATTTTATTCTTTCAAATTCATTTCACTTTCTGATACTGTCAAAAAAGTCCAGTTTCTTTTTTATTTTTTGTTTAATGTAAGTGGTTGAATCTTATCTATTCAAAGAGGCTATGAAAGTTGCTAGGCACTGCCGTCCAGGATCGATCTTAAATCTTAAACCCTATACTTAAGGGCAGTGGAGGTTCAAACCCAAGTCGTCTTACACCTGAAAAATGTTGATTCTTGCCTCAACATTAAGGAATTGTAGAATTATGTAGACCTATGTATGGTACATTTGGTGGAAAGATAAGGGCTCCCACTCCTACAGTTTGTGGTTTACGGGTTACATGACTTTAAAATAACATGAGTCAATCGATAATCCTATTCCATGCAAATCTTTTACGAGATTCAAACTCCTAAACTCCCTCTTGAGATATTAGAATTTTGCCTTAGAACTAAGCCTCGAGGAATTGCACTTATGTCCCACAGTACTCACATTGCTTCTCTCGGTAGCATTTTTAATTTAACTTACACCAATGGACTTTTGGTCCAATGGTACTCTTTTGTCTCGTGAAGATTTTGCCTTTTGGTCAAGGTTCAAGTCCTCTTTCCCTTCCTCCTCCCCTCTCTAAAAAAATTTAAAAAAAAAAATCTAACTTGAGGACTCAGAAATCATGTTTCATGGTGCAGATTGATGGAGAGATGAAGAGAACCACAAACCAAGACAGATCCGATTCAACTTCCACGGAAATGAAACGTGCAAGCAGAAACGGCGTCGCAGATGAGCTTCTGTACCACATAGATTATCATGGGGTGACAACCCATCCAACCCCGACTCCCAAACATCCCAGACCATAGTCCCACCTTTAAAAGTATTATTTAATTACATGGTGGAATGATTATGTACACATCTCCTGTATTACTGCTCAGTAATTTATAGAAATATTACAATGACTCGCTTAATAAAATAAGTAGTTTTCAATTCATACAGATTTGGATTGATTTTCTTTACAATGGCTCAATTTTGAGTTCATATTGAATACTAATTGATTCTAATTAATTTGATCAATATAATTACTCATGTCAGATGTACTAGTCTATCTTATTTATCAATTGTGTCACATTTTGAATAAACCAGCATAATCCGTGAACTAAAAACACCGCCTAGAACCCCTTTCTCTTCTAACTCCCGCCAACAGTAAGTCCCTCATCAACTAAAAGTTCACTCCACTTACATACCAAAAACTTGGTAAAAAAACTCTAATTTTACAAAAAATCATACAATGTTTAATTTAAAAAAAATGGAAAAAAAATTATACAATATTAATTAAATAAGTTATGGTATTAAAGTTAAGGTCACTTTATTTCAGTTTTTTATGGTTAAAAAAAGGGAAGAGACAAAAAAAAATGCCCAGAAACCACCCGACTATCATAGTTGAATCAATACAAAAGATTCCTACAGATCTAACTTACAGTCTGTCGAAGCTCCACAGAGGAACAAGGCTCTAAAAATGTCAGCCATTTGTTGTGGACAGACAGCTATTTGGATTTTTGCTGATGCCTTTGTTATGGACGTCTGCCAAGCCATCCCCGACCCAGAAAAACTTTAGATAAAAAGATGGGCAAATCATACATTGACCGCTTCAATTATGTGTTTGTCTCACATTACTCTCTCAACTATTATGTTTTTCAGATTGAACATCCTATGATTATTAATTTTACTTTCCCCCTCAATAATCATGGTCTTCACAAGATGATTATGGAAACTTCCATTCTGCAGAACTCATGGGCATACCCGAAATATAATAAATATAATGAGCATTTAGCTCTAGGAAATTGTGAAAACGATTCATGCAGTTGAATAGATAATATGAGAAACTCAAATAGCAAAATGGAGCAATGTGAGATCAAGATCATAACTGAAAAAAAAAAAAAAAAACCCTGGGAAGCTAAAGGTCTAGCATTGCCAGACTTTTAGGTTTATTCTCAATTACAGTGCAGTGAAAGCATCCCACTGGTGTATTGCCTTCTCACCTTCTTATACTTCTCAAGTAGCATCTTATACCCATGTTCTACATCCTCAAAAACTACCTCACTACAGAACTTAGATTTAACCTCCATGAAAGCTGCTTCTGCCTTGTCCTTATGCTGACTACCTAGATGATAATAGTTTTCAATACCAGCAAAAGGAATACTCGAGTCGTGTCCTTCAACCATTTCTCCTTCATTGAGATGCTGAAGCCACCTAAATTGTTGGAACAGATCTTCATGTCTCTGAACAGCCGCTTCTACATGCCTAAGCACATCTGAGAACCTTGACTTGAAATTAATTCTATTGATCAAATGTCCGAAAATCATTCTCTGGTTCCTATCCAGCCAACCTCCTGTAACGGATGATGAAACCGCACCTACCAAGCAAGCTTTCCGAAATGTAGGATCGACGTCACCAAGTAGCTTAATTGCAACATGCAATAGGTTCACAGACATAACTTTCAACTTCCAAAACAAAGAATCACCATGAGTGTGCTGAGATAGATTCTGTTTCTGATTCCAAAGATGAAGTGCAACATGAGTGAATCCTTCCCACCTGCAACACATATGATTGATACTAAGGTGCATTAAATGTCTTCTAACACATCAGGGTTCAGTTTTTGTTAGCCAATCAATGTTACAAATTCAAGGTCAGCTAGGATTATTGGCTTCCAAAATAAATGTGTGGGGATGTTCCAAGGAATTTAATAGAAAAAACCGCTTCATTCAGGAGGGTAGACAGCAGATATTTTACATAAATGGAATTTCAAACCCACAGGATATATGATTACCTTGTTTTAAGCCTTTTTATATATATTTTTTGATATTTTCTTGCAACCATGTGACTAACTGACTCTTATTTTCACCTTATGTTTCTTCTTGATTGAAAGCATCTATTTTATTTGATACTTTTTCTTTCTTTTTTTTTGGGAGCGGGAGAGAGAGAGAGAGAGAGAGGGGACTTGAATCTTTAACCTCAAAAAGACAGAACCTTCATAAGGTAAGGAGTACCATTGGACCAAAGGTCCATTGGTGAGTGGTGTAAGATATGATTTACTATCATCATATGTTATTCTCGAAACATATCTAAAAGTAAGCTATTCCAGGACACAATGGGGCCAAAACCTTGTGTTTGGGTCTGATACCCTTTGTCCATATTATATATTATTGTAACGAACATGGGCCAGTTCACATGCATTGTTGAGTTTTTTTGGTTCTAGAGTACAAGCTCTCCAATCATTTAGAAGATGCTCTCCCTCATTTATTGAGAAGATAATAAGGGAAATGCAGTGCCTACCCTAAGGAAATAGAAATAAAAACACATAGTAGTAAAAAAAGGAGAATGCATTTCCTCTTAGCATTTCCTTATTTGTGAAACTGTCATGAATATGAAAACTAGAACAATGAATAGCACCAGATAAAATTGAAAAAGAAAAGGAAAGACAATTAAAAAATTGATAAATACAAAAATGGATGCACAATTACCCATAGAGGATAAGAGTGGAAGCAGAATTATTCATTCAGTAAAAGGAATCCTGAAAAGCCAATGATCAAGGTTCTTTAGTCTACTATCAGCCTTAAGCCTTTGATTTAGCTTAGTTTTTAAATAGTTCTCCTACATCCATTCTAACCCTAGGACTGCATTAGCCTTCTACGGAATGGCATATACTGTATCACCAAACAAAATGTTTGTGCTGGCACAGGACAATAACTTTCCCTTTCTTACCAACATTTGCAATTTTCTACCATTTTACAGATCCACATGTACAATAAAATGAATTCACAATCATGTAGACCGTCCCATGTGATACATGATGGACCTTCCAAGTCACTGTTTCCAGGGCACAAAAGGCTCCATGATAGACCGTCCAGGGAACAAAAGGCTCAGAATCCTATCAATCAAAGGAAGCAGTAGTGATCAAAATATATAGGGGACTACGGTAATCAGTGATCCTGGATTAGGAAATTAGAACTTAAGTCAAGTCAATTGGGAGCAAGCTCTATATCTCAATAACTAAAGATATCTTGGTGTTAATGTATCTATTTGTATTCTCATTGTTATTATAAGTAATAGTAATAG